GGGGGCGGTGGGGTGGAGGGGTAGAGGGACGGAGGGGATTGGTTTTGCAAGGAGAGTTTGTTAAAAATTCAGTAAACGGCAGTCAAAAGGACTTTTGATCGGTCTGCGTGGTACATTCGAGGCACGGGGAATCCCAGGGTCTGTGTGCGGACGGTTTAATTTTTCGAAAACTATGGAACGCATTCACGCAAACTACGGGGATGTCCGAGGTCAGGGCAGTTGACCAGGGGCATCCTGACACGCGACGCATTATTGCTTCGACGGAAAAAGATTTTTTAGTCACGGATGTAGATTTACCCTTCTTTGGGAATTATGTGGAATTTGTGGGGAATCTTGTTTTTTTAGGATTTATTGATAAAGTAATGGGAAATGTCGGGAATGTGGATTTAGCTTTTTTTTTTTTTTTCATATATTGTTGAATATCGGGGGAGATAATTTTTATTATTATAGTGAATATATTTTTGAATTTATTCTTCAATATATCCAGTTTTCTGGGGAGACTGTTGGGGAATTAAAATTGAAAATTTTGATGAGGGGAATTTTTCATTGAGGGGTCAATTAATTTTGCGAGAATTTAATTGAAATTTCAATAAGTTTATAACAGTGTGGGAAATAAAATACAAACAGGAATTTAAAACAAATTCATATACAAAATATATCCGCGATTATTCTATAACTCTTTCCCAAAAAATTCAAGTGTCTTCTCCCGAAGACAAAATATTTCTCTGAATCCATTATCATTTGTTATCAACCCCAAAAGTTTAAACAAAAATTGAAAAATCCAGGAATTATATGGATTTCCCCGAGTTTTCATTCATTTCCACACGCCCATAAATATTCATCGACATCAAATGGAATTAACTTTATTCCGAATAATTCAATTTATTTGGATTGAAAATTGAATTCAACTAAATATTCACGGGAGTTAAATCAGAATTTTATTTAGGTAGACAAGGAGGAAGAGGGAGCGGATATAATTGAATTCGGATGAATTTTAATTGGGGAGACTATTTTTTTAGTTTTATCCCCTGAAATAGTGACGCGAAATGGTGGGGGTGCAGGGGGGGGGGCGGCTGAAAGGGGGAGAGGAGCGTTGATTGCAACATTCAACGAGATCTAATTAAAATGATTTCCACTGAAAAACCGATGGTAAAAAATATATCGCCTGCTTTGACGAATATATTTATGACCGGGTTGTTTTTTTTTCTCATGAAATTGTGATGGATTTTCGGAATTTTCCATTGGCTAGAAAAAAAAAAAAGAGGCCCAACTAGATAAAAACGCCGGTGGTAAATCAGAAATTATCTCGTCGAGTGGATTTTTTCCCATCGAGTCTCACGCATAAATACCGGTGTCGTTTGAATTTCGTGCTTTTGATCACCCCCTCCCCCCCCTCCCCTCTCACCGTTTGAGGATGCGATTTTCTCTCTTACACTCGTGTTTTACCCGTCATACAGAATACCGAGACCACGGGGCATATATATAATACTTTGATCGTACGTGACGGTGGAACTTGATGGACGGATGACCAGACCATTCCGCAGATTGCTCCGCTCTCGATCCCAACCGGAAGGAGATTTATACCTCCCGTCGTTATCTGTCGCTCGCGCCAACGTTACCCCATACCCCTTTTACATCCACCCAACCACCCAACCACCCAACCAACCCTGCACTATCCTAATGTTCATGGTATCCTCTAACCCTTGACCAATAACCAATCGACCCGAGTTTTTCCGCTTATTTCGACATTCAGAGACAAAATCTTATAAACCTCGTTGGTTTATTGTCCAATTTTTTTATTTTCATCATTCTTTCTTTGGTTTATTCTTCTTATTGGTTTCATTTTTTCAATGGTAATTATAGACGTGGCGGTTTAATATCGACGATTTTATTTGTTGGGAGAAGGAATCGGGATTTTATTGAATTTTTCTTTTTTTTTTCGTTTATTCAGACATTCGCAGACAAAATTCAGATTTTTTTTTCTCGTTATTGTTGGTTTATTTATTTATCATGATAGGAATATTTTTATATCGCAGAATTATTTTCTCATCTCTTAGAGAATTCGTTTATTCAGATAAAAATTCCAGATTGACCCGATATTTTTGATTTACTCCAACATTCAGAGATAAAAATTTACTTATTCTCTCATATATATAATTCTTCAATAATTCACTCCCTGGCTCAAGAATTCCGAATAAACCCGAATATTTAGGTTTATTCCCACCTTTCCTCTGCGTCATCATTATTGTCACGTACCATCACAATTGATTTCTCGGAAGAATAAGAATCGCTGATCGACTCGACTCAAATATTTTGATTTACCCCGTCATTCGCGGACTCAATCTCCGATTTTTCCTCGTAACCCCACGATTCCTTCAATCTATTCTATTTACACTCCAATCGCGCGTTTTAAATTTGGATTTTTTTTTAACAAGTCATTTATAACCCATCGAATTCGCGCTGAGGGGGCGAAGGGGGGGGGGGAGGAAGGGGGTAGGGGGTCTGATATCCCATCGAGCGTAGCGTCCGGACAAATTAGATTCGGTGACTGTCACAAAAACGCTCCGGATGATATGAAAGTCGAACCTATACCCGGATGCACCGATAGAA